TCATTTGGAAAAAAAATTGTTGATAAACTAAAATCGAATAGTAAAGATATACGAATTTATGCTCGAGTCGTGACTTTTGAGACATCCTGTATTTCAATTAAAGACAACATACATGCTTTCGTATATATTGCTATAACTTCTATACTAAAATGAATATCAACTAGTGATAGTATATACATATTTTATCGTGTATGTGTATATTCATGATTAGAATCGGTTTACTAGCGGAACCAGAATTTTTCAGTATGCTGAAAGTCAGCTTTCGAGCATAGAATTCACGTGAAAGTTGATGTTAATTGATATTGACTCCAAATGACAATTTTCAATCGAAAGATTTTTGTGGTTGAAGCTTGTGAAAAAAAAATAGTATTTTCCTAAGCTCCTAGTCAAGAAAACCTTTATGCTGTTAGTAGTAACTGTTTTTTTGAAGGTGCCACAGAAAGGTACGCCAAACTTAATCGACAATCTTCGAATTTCATCTAAAAATATTGATTCCTTTAGGATTTCTAATGTTTAGAAGTTATGTTACGTGTCCTAAAACTTACTCCAGATGTTCGAACGTTATAAGCCTAAACGAATCAATATGTTTAAATGAAATATGAAAGCTGTCGTTGAAATTTGACGTAGCTTTCTGCAGCTTCTTTTCTTTCTTGAGCAGAAGCTCAGAAAAATACTAATTTTTTTCACAAATTTCAACCGTAAAAAAATCTTTTGCTAGAAGATCAGCATTTAGACCCAATATCAACTTCCATCAACTTTCACGTGGGTTCCGTGCTCTAAAGCTGAGTTCTAGCATACCGAAAAACTCTAGTTCCGTCACTAGTGTTTATTAAAATAGACTTTCCCCTGTCGTTCATTTATATTTTTTGTATACAATTGTTTATACAGTTTTTAATTCTATTAAATATAAACAACTATGAAAAAGAGATGATACAACTTATTTATACAAATAATTTTAAGTTTTTTTCTCTATATTTTTGTTGTTCCTATTTTATATCTTTTTGTAAAGGTATTGAGCCATAGGTGCTCATAAATCAAACACATTGAACCTCTTTTGGATCGAACTTTGTTGAATCCTTTGATTAGGACTTGAAAGATTCTTTCGTTTTTCATTTCTTGACAGCTTTGACTGAGAGCTGTTTACTACATTGAGTAAAGTAATACATGGCAAACATCTGGAAAAGTCTCTTACTGGAAAAAAAATCATCCTATATAGCTCCTATATTTTTATTGAAGTCCTATAAAAATGTCATTTTTACAATCCTATATTTTCCTATATATCCGGAGCAGACCGCTACGAAGCCTGTATACAACAAAGAAAACTGTTATGGGAAAATATCAAATATACTGAGTGAATTCAATTCATAGTTTTGGCTCCTGAATTTAACTCGATTTTTATTTTTACGAATAAATTTGAATGCATTACATTGAATTACAAAGAGTCGACGTATATAGTTCACTTTTTAAAACATAGAACAATCAGAAAATAAAATCAGTATGAGGAGATTACCAACATCATCCAAGAAGTCAATTAAACAATATAAATCGATATTCGACTTGCACAGAAATGTGAAAAAATATTTTATTCTGAGGTTTCTTAGTTTATCCTTTAACAATGAAAATATTCAATATTATGAAAGTTAGTCAAGTTATCTTTAAACAAGATCAATACTTGAATTTTATTTTAAAATCTAAACAGAAGTATTCCATCGGAAATTCTATTTTCGAAAAATCATTTGTTTGAAAAGATATTGAAATAGAATTAATCTAGAAAAATTCTCAATCAATAAATTTTGGATTTAAATTAAGAGAAGAGACGGAATTTCTTTATATTAGAAAAGAGCAAAAATTTGCATTAGTTAAAATGGTTCATTCCTATAGATAATTGTGGAAGAAGTCTGAAAAGTTTTTTCTTCATTTATTCTCGAAGAAAAATTGAATCTTATATTTCTAGGTAAGGGGTTTTTAGAACAATTAAAATACTAGACACAAATGCTGAACAAAATTTTCTTTTGTGAAAGTTGCTTGTTCTCTCGATTGTAATATGAACAACTTGGAAAAATCTTCCTTTTATTAGGTAATCAACGAATAAATTAATGTTTTTATTTCGAGTTGAAATTCAGAGTTCTATAGTATAAGCCTGGTGTGATATCAACCCAATCTATTACTATCTCAAAACAGCACGTTATTCGCATATGATGGCAACATAAAGTCAAAACAAATGAAATTCACTCAAAATGATTCTATAATCGTATTGGAAGCGTAAAATTTGATTTCGAATAAAAGAACAACTATATTAGAAAATTGTTTCTCAGATAATTGAAATTGACATTGCAGAAAATCTGTTAGAACAAGTACCGTATTCAAGCTAATTCAGTGATAGAGGAAAAATAAAAGTTTGACAAGTTATCCTGAACAGTCTTTCTACTGAATGATCTAATTCACCTACTGATTAGCAACAGTTTTACATGACTTTTTGCCACCTCATAGACCTTGATACTTAGAAGTTCTCCTGGAAAAACTGTTTACTTGATTGACTTTCAGTGCATCACTCAAATGTTGTGCGCCATTATCTCCGATTTTATTATTTAATAGTCTCAAATCTACGAGTGTCTATATGATAGAAATAAAGGAGAGTAGCAGAAGCAACAATTTTAAACGTATTGCAAATGAAAGAAGTACATGCAATGCAATATAATAGATTCTTTAGAATTAGTAGGGAATGACTCTTTTTTTTAATTGTAGATAATATCGAAAGAAATATTCAACTGATAAAATTAACAATGAAATCGGAATAGATAAATTATAATATTTTTCGGCGCATAGCTTCGATGAATTAAATACCTTAACCTATTACAGTTTTCAGCATATCGACATTATTTAATCGAAAAGAAAGCAGTTCATTAGAAAAAATGAGTCTGACTAGTTAGTCCTTCGTAGAATTCTAACCTAAATCTTACTCGTAAGTTTTTTTTTCTACAGATTCTTAGTTAAAATTAGAACAAAATATGAAGAAAGCGAAGAGTAACAATTTAGTAATTTTCTCAACGCTTGAAATAAATCTAACGATTTCGAATATCTAATTGAAAATGAATGGTAAGAACATGATAAGGAACATATCTATGATCTGAACAAAGCATGTGTAACAGATATTACACGATCATATGTATTAGAACGTCAACATATTAGTTTCGAACAACTAATAGAAACTATTTTAATTGAAAATATTTTTCAATATTATATTTAACATTTGCACAAAACATTTCATCTTCAAGAATCATTTCTAACACATTCATATTATTTCAACTTCAAATCTAGTCTTGGTTATTTGTTCACATAATTATGTTATACCCTATGAAAATATGTTGCCTAAAACTACGCTACAAGTTTCTAGATAAGAAATAAAATCGATGGTTTGTGTTTTAGCTAAATTTCATGATTACAAAAATGAGTGAATTAAAATATTCATAAATCGAAGTATTTTACAGTTCGAATTCGATTCTAAGCAGTCCTGATAAAGCAAGTTGTCCGAAATTGGTATGAATCTATGAATAAAAAAATGCTAAGTTTATTCAACAGTATAATGTAATCTACTCAGAACTTTTAAATATGAGAACGAAACACATCCAACTGAACTTGAAACTACTTCATTTTGCACTAACTGCTACTCAACCTCCATGAAATATTACTCAAATTTATAACATCGTCTTGAAACTGATCCTACCATGACAAATTTATATCACATTTGCTAATTATAAATAATTTCTGTAATGTCGTCTCAAATCCAATTGTTGATTATCAAAAACATGATGTAAAACTTTGGAAAAAAATGAAGGTCGATGTTAGAGAAGTCAAATGGAATGAAAACTTACTCTATTTGTTCGTAGAGCGTCTGCGATATGTTCTGCACCCTCGTCGCCAATTTTATTACCATACAATATTAACTGGGTGACTGTCTATATCAAAAAATATACACGAATATGGAAGTTCCATAAGAGCGCAGCCTATCATTTTTTTAATTATATGACGACACACAATGAAAAGTTATCTATGAGACTACTTAGTTGATGGTTTTAAATGAACAGTACTACTAGATATATATCCGAAAGTGAAGTGACCCCTTGGAACGATCAGTTGGTATGTCCTTTAGGACTAGCTATCAGCATATTGCTTTACAGTTCGGTCACAGGAGTCGAATGTAGTTCGTAAAGTTCTTTGTATATTAAAGCAATCATGTAGAAAAGTGACCATTGGTGTCAACGTTTCACCTCACCGATTATCGATTAAAGTTAATCTCAAATATCTAATGTTGTTTCTAATATCTAGAGAATTTTGAGTTGCAACCCGAGAAGTTTATGTAAATAATTGATACAGTTACAACCTCGTTATCCCTAGATACTTCATGTGAATTGAGCGATCCTCAACATACTATGGCAATGGAATGAAATTTGGCTTACTAGAAACTCGTGCACTGTATAAACAAGACAAATGCTACACATGGTTTTTTTGCAGTCCTCTTGTTCATATTACCCTAGATAGGCATTAGAAATGAAATTCCATCACTTTATATTTTTAAATACAGACAAAAATTATCAGAAAGAGTTTTAGATCATCTAGAACAAACGGAACTTTAGAAAAAGATCATGTTTCCCTTAAAACTCTTGATGTCTATCTGATAGATAAAATGATTGCATACCAAAAAGGTTTCTGTCTTACAGTTTTATGAACACATACTCTCATAAAGTATCCATTCTACTAAAATATGAAAGTCTTAAAATTCATATCTTGAGGGTGTGGGTATGACTATTTTCTTTAGTGTGTAACCACAGGCACACCCACACCCAAATACGCATGTTAGTATATAATATATTTCGTATACCTTTGCAATACCATATCTCTAAATAGAAAAATAAATGCATCATAACTTCTACATATATATTTTATTTTCTATCAATATTTATTTCATATTATTTGTGATACATAATGGTTTAATAACTTCAATGGAATTAACTAATCTTAAGTCAAATATTTCTAATGAAAACATGATCGATGAATTTATTAAAAATGAAATTCGACAAGGTTTTCCTGGTGCTGCTCTTGTCGTAATTCAACATGGTAAAATACTAAAACAAACTGTCTATGGTTATAAATTAAAATACGATAAAAATGTAACAATAATAAAACAACCACGACTACTAACATTAGATACAATGTTTGATTTGGCATCATTAACTAAAATGTATGCAACAAATTATGCATTTATGCATCTAGTTGGGCAAGGAGCATTGAAAATTGATGATCCAATTAAAAAATATATACCTCAATATTGTGGATGTAATCCTAAAAACGAATGTCGTGAAACAAGATTAATAAAAGATTTAGTGACACATACAGCTGGATATGCTTCAAGTATTCATTTTTATAATCCGGCAAAAGTTCCTTCAGAACTATTTTCACAAGATAAGCATAAAACCGAAGAAATTATCGAAACAAAATTAGGATTTCAACGATCGAGAGGCGATCATCAATTATCGGTTTATTCCGATATTGATTATATACTTTTGGGTTTCGTTATAGAGCATATAAGTGGAATGACAATTGGTCAATATGTTATGATTAATATTTATGAATCACTAAGTCTAAAACATACATTATTTAATCCTTTGCATAATTCACATTATGCAAAATCTGATTTTGCTGCTACTGAATTAAATGGAAATACGCGTAATCATACAATCAACTTTCCTAATATACGTAGACATGCATTGCAAGGTGAAGTTCATGACGAAAAATCATTTTATTCAATGAATGGTTCATCAGGACATGCTGGGTTATTTTCAAATTTAAATGATATGTCAATTTTAATTCAAATTATGTTAAATAAAGATACTTATGAAAATATTAAATTTTGAAGTGAAAAAGTGCAAGATATGTTTCTAACAGCACATATTTAAAATCCAGCTTTTGGACTAGGATGGCGTCTAAATCATAATAAATCTTTATCATGGTTTGGTCTTCATGCATCCGATAAAGCATATGGTCATACCGGATGGACAGGAACATGTACTATTATCGATCCAAAATACTCAATGGCTATTATTCTATTAACAAATAAACGATATACACCCTATATCAATGGAACTTTCTACGGTGAAAAATACGACACAGGAAACTATGGTAAAATAATGAAATTGACCTATCAATCAATGTTGTTACATAAAGATCCGTTGGAATACATTTTGAGTATTTACTATGAGCTGTTGAATTGGGCAAAGGAATTTATAATGTTCTTGTTTTAATGAATAAAAATTTAAGTATGAAGTTTTTAAGTTCGTAACAAATTTGTTTATATTTCGAGCATCATTAAAAGAACTAATATATAGGGACAAACATTGACATTCAAGAAAAAAATTACTATCAGAATTTGTCTATTATATTTAAGTAAAGTAACAATATTTATAGATGACACAGAACATGCTGGTTCTCCTAATTATGTTTGATAAATATCCCTGATATTTGAAAATCTAGATCAAATTATACATTCTTAACGAATATTGTCTTGGAGTTATGAACTATGTATTATTACACATATCATATATAGATAGATAGCCGACCAATTTTAACATATTGAATAAGTTTTAATAAAACAATATATTATGCAGAATGATTTACTATTGCTGATTTCAGACATAGTTGGTCGTGGGTATTTTTCGAAGAACTTTTAATAGGAATGAGATAGAGATCTGTGGTTTTCATTGTGGGAAAGAGCAAATGAAAATGTATCGAAACATGGATAGAAAGATTTTTCTAACCTTTTCCTGAATGTTTTACATAATGTTTCAAAGACAACGACATGCTTCTCTTAATTACGATATAAATCTTTTTATTTTTCAGAAATGTGCTTCGACCGTCAAATGAAGAGCTACAAGAAACTATGGAGAGGTTCTATATTTAACGATTACCAATCAGATGATACTTCACTCGTTGGAGTGTAATTCATTATCAAGTTTTTCACAAAAAATAGTCGAGAAATGAAGGTTTTTTTGAAGTATTTCGATAGAAAAATGTAATTTTGTGATAACGTTTGACTAGAACATTCAGAAAAGTAGTCAGAAAAATCTTTCTATATATTGTTCGATGCGTTTTTATCTGCTCTTACCAACAGTGAAAATCCCAAGTCTCTATCATGCTCCTATTAAAAGTTATTCGAAAAATACCTACAGCCATCTATGTCTAAAATCGACAATACTTATCGTCATCGATTGAAACACTGATTTAAACTGCAAGTTTTCTAATTTGTTTTCATCGCATTTAACATTTGAATGTTGAAAGAATTTTACATGCTGAAAAAATTTATTTTAAAATGTACATAATCCGTCTAAACAGTCCAAAAATTTATGTAAATTTGAATTCATTTCAAGAATTCAGATATCAATTTCATTTACAATTGTCTTGATTAATGATAAATAATAAATGTTAATCATGATTTCCTTTTGATCGCATAAAAAAACCATAAATTGTTTTGTTAGTAATGTTGACCAGCAAGAATGGCAAAATCTAGTGGTTCTGCTGGTTGTACACCTCCGTGAACCATATTAGTTTCTAAATAAAAATTTCATAAATTCTTATATGTACATTAAAATGCAAACAGAAATAAAATGCAAATCAATATGTTGTAATCAGAAGTTTTATCTATAGTAATTAACATCTTCCGAAGAATAGCAGTACTTGATGACCAATGCAAATCTCTCATATTTAATGCATTGAAAATGGAAAATACATATTTGATGTCTTCAAAAGATTAAAATAAAAACAAGTCTCACCTAATTGAATTTGATCTGTTGAAGATGCATCCAATGTCAATATTGGTGGTTGAGCAACCAAAGACAATAGAAAACGAACAAAATAGCAAAAATAGGAAAAGAATAGACTTTTATTTCTTCTTCTAGGCAGATTCACCATTTGACCAATTTGCAACTGTGTTGGTGTAATTGTAGAATTAGCAGTTTCCAGATCTTCAAGTTTACATCCATATAATTGACATAAACTCGAAAATGTTTCATTTTCTTTAATTTTGTGTTTCGAAATTGATGGCGAAAATAATAGACGAAATGTTGATGCTGATGGGTTAATAATCCAAGTGATTGCAAATTGCATACATAAACAAAAAATTGTAATGAACTTATCCTTGTCTTCAGGAATGTACAGTGTATCACCTATTTGTAATGTTTCAGGTTCCATACCAGGATTGTAAGACACTATAGATGTTATTGAACATTTATATTTTTCACTTAAAAGAGCGAATGTGTCGCCTACACGAATGATATGTGTCAGCATAGGAGTTTCTAAAATCAAATGAAAAATAAACAATAGTAGTACTTGCTTGACGCTTGTAGAAAAATCTGGACAGAAATATGTTCTCGATGCAAATTCTTAAGTACACATCTGTATGTGACGATTTTTAGATGGAAGAGGAGCACGCGCTGATGGAACTATGCTTTAGTGTATTTCTTTCTATCAACAATCGCATCGTTTACATACAAAGCTTATGCTTGTATACTCATACATTAAAGAGAAGGAAAGAATAGGAAAGAAAACGACTATAAGGACAGAAGATAATTGCCATATGATAGAGACAAAGTATAACACGACATACGGTGGAGGTCAAAAGTCTCGCACCACTTTTTTGTTTTATGTCGGGTATTAAAATTATTCAATGGAATTTAAATTTCTTTTTTACCATTGGAAAGTACAGATCGAGTACTATCTATATATATCTGTTTAATACAAAAACTCATTGAATATAAAATATAATAAAAACAAACAAACTTGATTGCTAAGAAAAAAAGCACATAAAAAAAGACAAAAATATATTGTTGTCATAAGTTTCAGTATTTTTAGTAAAATGTGAGCACGTATAGAATTGAGTAAAAGTTTTGTTTTGACATTTTTATGTGGTTTGATAGAATTCGTCGAGCTCTGCAAAACTGTATATAGTTAAAAAGTTTTAGACCCCTTTCATTGCATAAATTTACTAAAACCTTGCATTTTTCACGTTTGCTATATGGAAAATTGCCAAAATCTTTTTTTCATATTAAAATACGAGTTTTTTACATTTTTTTATATAGTTTTTAGTAAATTTATGCAATGAAAGGGGTCTAAAACTTTTTAACTATATACAGTTTTGCAGAGCTCG